TGGCTCAGTGGCAGAGCGCTTGCCTTGCATGCCTGAGGCCCTGGGTTCGATTCCTCAGCACCACATAAGCAAAAAGAAAAAAAGCCGGAAGTGGCGCTGTGGCTTAAGTGGTAGAGCGCTAGCCTTGAGCTGAAGAGCTGAGGGACAGCGCCCAGGCCCTGAGTTCAAGGCCCGGGACTGGTTTAAAAAAAAAAAAAGAAATGTACTCATTATCTTGCCCATGTAATTGTAACCCCTCTGTACAGTATTTTCACAATTAAAAAAAAACTGAAGATTTTCTAAATTAACTGTATATATACAAAAAGTACTGATTTTTTTCTGAACTTCAAAAAGTTTTACATGGGAGTCACAATTTAAAATGTCTACTTAAGTGTCCAGTGCTTCTTGATTAGTTGCCCCTTCCATCATTCTCCTCATCTCTTCTGATTCCTCCACCCAGACTCATTTTACATTTTCTACTTCCTTTATCTCAGATATATATATAGAGAGAGAGAGAGAGAGAGAATATTGTGATTGTATTGTTTCCTATTCTCTTTTTCAGTAATTCATCCCCTTACCATAGCTTCTTGATAAACTTTTTGTTAAAGCTTTTTGCTTTTTCTTCTTTCTTTTTGCTGGTCCTAGGGCTTAAACCTAGGGCTTGGGCTCTGTCCCTGAGCTGCTTCTACTCAAGGCTAGTGCTCTACTACTTGAGCCACAGTCTTCAAGGTAGTTTATTGGAGAGGAAACTCTCATGATTTTCCTACCTGAGCTGGGTTTGAACCACGATCCTCAGATTTCAGCCTCCTAAGTAGTTTAAGATTACAGACAGGAGTTACCGGTACCTGGCTAAAGTATTTCTTAAAAGAGTTTTGTTGAGCCCCTTGGAACAAAGATAAATAAATCCTCTTATGTCGATTTGTAATTTATTTGTTGGTTCTCTTATCAAACAAAAGACTCTTAAACATAGAATTAGTACTAGGCACAATAATGCATGCCAATAAATAGTAGTTAAATTTCTTCATCACAAAAATGTAACAAAAATCACTTCTGAGAGTACTAAAGAAAAAGAAAGCCAGTAATTACAGAATTACAGAAATGCCTGTAATCCTAGTTCATTGTGTGAACTTCAGTATGTATTTAACCAGAAAAATCAAGACTTTCAGTTAAAGATGAACTATAAACTTCTGGATTTAAAGTTACTCGAATTCTTATTATTCAAGTACTCTTATTTTCCTTATATTTTCTTGTACTCATTGTTGTATTTTATTTATTTTGTCCCTTAGGGTTCAGCACATTGCAGTGTACAGAATAATACATAAATCTCAACAGTAACTTTAATTTACACTGTTATTTAATGTTTTCAGTGAATATGTTTTTAAAGTAATGAGTAGACAAACCATAAAACTCATTAATAAGATGATTTCAGACTACTGTGCTCATGCATTGTTGTCCCTAGTACTAAACATAATGTTTTAAGAACTTGTATTTCCCTTTTGAACCATCATATCTGTTTTTAGTACTTTCGTTTCGGAATAGTTAATTTGTTCTTTAATGCAAGATCTGTTTATGACACTTGATTGTAATTTCTGTGAAGTGAAAGAATTAATGCTTATAAGTTTCACTGGGCCTTATGTAGTAAGTACTCATGTAAACAAATAAATAATAGGCTTAAATAGAAGCTTGGGCATAGTGGTACATTCAGTTGCTGGTAATCGAAGCAATTGGGAATTGGAGTCAGGCCAGCCTACGCTACTAACAGAGACCCTTTCTCAAATAAGGACAAAGTTCAAAAAAGTCAATTAGCCAGGTGTTGGGGGCTCATGCCTGTAATCCCTAGTTACTCAGGAGGCTGAGGTACAAGGATTGCGGTTCAAAGCCAGCCTGGGCAGGAGAGTCTGTGAGACTCTCGAATAAACCACTAGAAAAACTGGAAGAGGCACTGTGGCTCAAGTGGTAGCATGCTCGCCTTGAGCCTGAAGTGCTGAGGGACAGCGCCCAGGCTCAGAGTTCAAGGGCCATGGCTGACCTCCCCCCCACCCCCCAAAAAACAACCAAAAATCACTTTATGTTAATTATGTTGTAAGTCAGATATTAGAAGGTAATAATAGTAGAAATAATATTAAGTACTAGTTGCTAAGTAGGAATCTTTCTGTTTGCTAAGATACAACTTTTTATATATGTGTTTAATATTTGTTTATTTAGGTTCGACCGAATAGTCCTTCTCCTACAGCATTAGCTTTTGGGGACCACCCTGTTATACAACCAAAGCAGTTATCCTTTAAAATTACTCAGGTAAATAATACATTTTTCTATGACTATTAGGAACCCCATAATCACCTTTATACTAAACAATTACAATAACATAAAGTAAGCCAATTTACTAAATAATAACAGCAAAAATGCATGCTCTCACTACTAAGTTACACCTTCATTTTGTACCAAATTTATTCTTCAAAGTTTTAACGTGCAACAGTTTCTGGTTGACAATATTTGGGGCTGGAGATTGGGAAAATAGGCCTTTTTGCTTGACCACCTCGGCTCCCTGATTTATTTGTTATACTTTATAAGTATAGTCTATTCCTTTGCAGAGTTGAAGAATCAGAGTAGTGTGTAACAAAAAGCAGTGAATATATTGTTTTAATGGAACATCAGTATAATTTTTATTTGTAGCATTTATGCCTCTGAAGTTATTAAAGCTTAGAACTACATTAGGACTTTGAGATACTGTTCATATACATAAACTCATTTTTTCTTTCCTTTTTGAATTTGGATAAAATATAGTTTTAAGTTTGTATATGGCAATATATATTTTAAAAGATATTAAAGTAGCTTTTTTTCATTTAGACTGATCTCACAATGCTGAAATTAGCAGCATTAGAGAGTAATAAAAACCAGGACCTGGAAAAAAAGGAAGGTCGTATAGATGATTTGCTCAGGGTAAGTAATAAGTTGGGTGGGGGGGGGATCAAGTAAATTATTTGGGAGCAAACTATTGAAAAACTATTAAACATGGAAAAACACTCTGTAGCTCGAAGAAAATAAACTTTTTCTGATAGCATAAGTACATGATTGAAAATACCAACTTTAAAATGAAAAGCAAGGCTGGGTTCAATGATACATACCTATAATACTAGCTTCTGGAAAGGAAGCAATCAGAAGATAATGTTTTCAGGCCAGTCTGGGTAAAAAGTTAACAAGATTCTATCTCAATAATTAAGCTGTGTAACGTAGTAGTATGCACCAGCCATGTGGAAAAGAGGATTGCTCTGGCAAAAAGAGACCCTTTCTGAAAAACAACCAAGTCAAAAAGGCTTAAAGGTGTGACTCAAGTGTTAGAGCACCTGCCTAGCAAATGTGAAGCCCTGAGTTTAAACTCTAATACCACCAAAACTGAGGCAGCTTGTGCTGCTTCTGTTTAGAAATAAGAAAACTGAACTCAGGGGCTGAGAAGGTGGCTCAGTGGTAGAGTGCTTGCCTTGCATGCATGAGGCTCCAGGTTCAATTCCTCAACACCACATAAGCAGAAAAAGCTGGAAGTGGCGCTGTGGCTCAAGTGGTAGAGCACTAGCCTTGAGCTGAAGAGCTGAGGGACAGTGCCCAGGCCCAGAGTTCAGGCTCCACAACCAGCAAAAAAAAAAAAAAAAGAAAACTGAACTCAGATGACTCATAGCCATTGTTATATACATCAATATGGATATGAATGTCTAAAATATGTATATAAGTTTCATGTACTTTCTTGAAAATTTTTAAGTTAGTCATTGTTAAATTTTAAAAATTTAGTATCCATTTGAGTTTTCATAACTTTAAATGATAATAAATAGTTAATGGTTAATACTGTTATCTCATGGTTAGTAGTAAGCTTTTTAAAATACACTCAAATATAGCCAGTGGCTCATGCCTGCAATCCCAGCTCCTTTAGGGGGGTCAAGATCACAGTCAAAGATCACAGTTAGAAGCCAGCCTGGGTAAGAAACTTCATGAGACTCTTAGCTCCACGTAAGCATCAAAAAGCAGAAGTGGAGCTATGGCTCAAGTGATAGAGCACTAGCTTGTGCAGAAAAGTTCAAGGACAATGCCCAGGCCCTGAGTTGAAGCCCCAAGACCAGCACAAGAATAAAATAAAAATTTATTTTAAAAAATACACTCTCTCTCTCTCTCTCTCTCCCTCTCCCTCTCTCTCCTTCTCTCTCTCTCTCTTTCTCTCTCCTTCTCTTTCCCTCTCTGTCCCTCTTCCCCCCCCCCCCGCCAGTGACTCATGCCCTGTAATCCTAGCTACTCGGGAGTCTGAGATATGAGGATCACGGTTCAAAGCTAACCTAGGCAAGGAAAATCTGTGAGACTCTTCTCTCCAATTAACCACAGAAAACCAGAAGTGGTGCTGTGGCTAAAGTGGTACAGTGCTTGCCTTGAGCTGAAGTGCTGAGGGACAGTGCCCAGGCCCAGAGTTCAAGCCTCACAGTCGACAAAAAAAATACACAGAAATATTTAATTTTATGGAAATGAGGTTTTTAAAAATTCTATAAAGTTGCCGGGCACCTGTAGCTCACGCCTGTAATCCTAGCTACTCAGGAGGCTGAGATCTGAGGATGCGGTTCAAAGCCAGCCCAGGCAGGAAAGACTGTGAGACTCCTATCTCCAATAAACCACTAGAAAACTGGAAGTGGCGCTATAGCTCAAGTGGTAGAGTGCTCGCTTTGAGCTGAAGATTTGAGGGACAGCACCCAAGCCCAGAGTTCAAGCCCCATGACCGACAAAAAAAATTCTATGAAGTCTATTATCTTTACCATGTATTCAAAATGTTACATTGTAGGCTAACTGTGATCTCAGACGACAAATAGATGATCAACAAAAATTACTTGAAAAATATAAAGAACGATTAAATAAATGTATATCAATGAGCAAGAAACTTCTTATTGAAAAGGTAAGTTCAAAAAAAGAAAGGTAAACTCAAATTCATTTTATCTCTTTCCCTGTAAATTTCCCTTTTACTAGCCCCTTTTTGTCTTACATTCTTTTTTAAATTTAAAGGAATAAAACTCAATGATTTTTTTTCTCCTTTTTTTTCTTTTTTTTTTCAGAGTACGCAAGAAAAACTATCAAGCAGAGAAAAGAGTATGCAAGATAGATTACGCCTTGGGCACTTTACAACAGTTAGACATGGCGCTTCATTTACTGAACAATGGACAGATGGCTTTGCTTTTCAGAATCTTGTTAAGTTAGTCATTGTTAAATTTTAAAATTTTAGTATCTGAGTTTTTATAACTAAGTAATTATAAATTTAGAATTATGTTCAGTATCTTCTTAGTATTTAAGAAGCTTAGACTCTAAAATATATGAAAGAAATTTGAAGCAGTTATTATGATCTTAACTTTAGTAAACTTATTAATTAATATTCATCTGTAGTGTGTATGTATGTTTGTTTGTCTTTTGTTTTTTTGTGCCAGTCCTGGGGCTTGAACTCAGGCATTCAGGGCTAGGTATTAGGCTTACTGTGTAACAAAAGACAATGTCTTTCCTTATCCTAAGGAGTTTGGGTTCAATTTTTGGATAATGGGAGTTATAACAGTTTTATATGTAGTGATCAGAATTGAGTTACAAGATAACTCAACTAATGTGGAAATAACATTTAAAAGAAGAAAATTGTTGACAGAGAGGTGATCCAGATGCAGCCATTATTTGTAAGCTAAGATATTGACAGTAGAGAGCAGAAAGTAGATTTGAGATAGAAACTATACATTTTTAATGCTTTGTGAACAAAGATTCTCTTTCCACCAAACCCAGACCTGTAATGTATAAATGAGGAAAGGCTTCATAATTAATATACATGGTCTAAAATATTAATTCTGCTGGTAGTTAGTTTCTCTGTTGAGCTGTCAAGAACAAAATTACCTATGTGCCTTAACTATCACTTATAAGCATTTATTGGGAACTATGTGCTGTTACATATTTTATATCATGCTGTTTATAACACCAAGGGAGTAGAAGAATAGAAATGAACAAATAATATAAACATATTAATAATGTCACCGGAGGCATGGCTCAACAATAGATACTTATTAGTTTTTAGAATCAGAAAGCTCTTTAAAATTTTTTTTAGATTCTTGAATGGGAAATTTAATAACTTTATGTTTATTAATTACCCATTTTTCAAACCCACACATTTCTTTGCTATTCCCTTATTTACTTCCCCAAAATTGACAAAATTATTGCTTTATTTCCCCTAAATTTTTAAGGTAAATTTTTGTTTCACTTTGAAATATTAGTTGTATATTCCCAACATTTGTAAGAGATAAATATAGAAAGTAACAACTCTCATATTAAATTTGTACATGCATTTCATAAGATTAACTGAAAAAAATAATCAGTGGAATGAAAGTATAAAACTTAGCTCATACTTAATTCTTACTAGTTTTCTTTTTCTTTTTTTAGCTCATTCATTTATTCAGCAAATGGTTATTGAGCACTTCTAGTGCATGTTGATCACCATGTTAGATATTTTGGATTTAACTATAAAATAGATGTGGCCCTGTGCTGGTGGCTCACTCCTGTAATCCTAGCTACTCAGGAGGCTAAGATCTGAGGATCGAGGTTCAAAGCCAGCCTGGGCAGGAAAGACCATGAGACTCCTGTCTCCAATAAACCACCAGAAAACCGGAAGTGGCGCTGTAGCTCAAGTGGTAGAGCACTCGCCTTGAGCTGAAGAGCTGAGGGACAGTGTCCAAGCCCAGAGCTCAAGCCCCATGACCGAAAAAAAAAAAAAAAAGATGTGGTCTCTCTTCTCATGGAGTTATATAGGCTAGTGAAATACATTATGATAAACTATCTAGAAGTGGTATTTGTTACTGTGAGATTATATAAGGCAACATATTTTTCCCTACTCCAGGTGTTTGAGGAATATTTCACTTAAAAATGAGATGAGAGGCCTATGCTGGTGGCTCATGGTTATAATCCTAGCTACTAAAGAAACATGAGAGCTGAGATTTGGGGTTCAAAACCAGTCTGGGCAGGAAAGTCCATAAGACTCCTATCTCCAATTAAGCACCAAAAAAAGTAGAAGTAAAGTTGTGACTCAAGTGATAGAGTGCTAGTCTTGAGCAAAAAAGCTGAGGGACAGAACCCACCCTAAGTTCAAGCTTCAGAACTGGCAGAGAGAGAGAGAGAAAGAGAGAGAGAAATGAGACCTGAAATTTTTCATGCTTTATAATGTATTTTTAATTATGAAAAGTAATATGTTTAATAGGATTTTGTTTTGTTTTGTTTTTACACAGGCAACAAGAATGGGTGAATCAGCAAAGGGAAGAAATTGAAAGGCAAAGGAAACTTCTAGCCAAACGTAAACCTCCCACCACAGCTAATAATTCTCAGGCCCCTTCTACCAATTCTGAACCAAAACAAAGAAAAAACAAAGCAGTTAATGGAGCAGAAAATGATCCCTTTATTAGACCAAATTTACCACAACTGTAAGCCTTTATTTAACATTTTCCTTTCTTAAATTGTTAGTAGTAAACATGAAATGTTACAAAATTGTTTATAATTAAATTAATACTTGCAAAGCAAAAACAAGGACCATGAAAGAAAAACTGTTGAAAAATTCAGAAGTCCCAAATATCAGAATTCTGCTTTTTTAGCTTTTCTTTTTTTTTAATGCTGGACCTGGGGCTTACACTCAGAGCCTGGGTTCTGTTCCTGAGCAGTTTTGCTTAAGGCTAGTGATCCACCACTCCACTTCTGGCTTGTGGGTGGTTAGAGATAAAAGTCTCATGGAGTTTCTTACCCAGACTGGTTTTTAAACTGCTACCCTCATATCTCAGCCCCCTGAATAGCTAGGATTACAGACATGAGCCACCAGTGCCATGCCCTGTTCTTGGTTTTTGACAAAAGGTCTGACTGTTGCCAGGCTGACTTCAAACTTAGTCTTTTTACTTGAGTATCCCTGCCATACCCTCCTCCATGCTGGAATTATGGGCATGCACCACCATGTCTTTCTACTTCCCTTTGTTTTCTAATTTTCTGTGTTAATGAAGTATTCTTTGTAATTTAAAGGACAAGGTCATTTAAAAAATAGTTAATTAACATGTGTATTGTAGAGAATAATAAAACAAATCATGTATGATCCCAATCCACAAAGAGCACTATCGTTAAAATTTTATTGTACAGAAAAAAATCCAGAGTTAGCTAATTTTCTGTTCCAGAAGAACTTTAATATGTGTAAGTAAGAAATATATGTTTTTATGGTACAAGTGTATTCTTTTCTTCTCTGTGGAAGAACAATGCTTTGAATTTCATCCCCTGCTATACCATTTTGTTTTTTGCTGGCACCTTCCTTTCATAAAATATATGTAAACAAAAGAAAAGAAAAAACTGTTAATCAGTTAAGAATCTGTTACCTCTCATTTAGCTCCATCCACATACATACCTGGCACCTGCTCTGTGTTTTCTCTACTGATGAATGGCACTCCATTCTGGCTTTTTCAAAACCTTTTGTTCTTTCCTGATTTTCTTAAGCTGTTATAAGTTTCAGTTGAAACATTTGACTATCAATATGAAAAAGGAAAAAGGGTAGCTGGGCGCTGATGGTTACAGCTATAATCTTAGCTACTTAGGAGGCAGAGATCTGTAGATCATGGTTCAAAGCCAGCCCAGGCAAGAAAATCCATGAGACTTTTATCTCCAATTAGCCACCACAAAACTGGAAGTGGCGCTATGGCTCTAGTAGTAGAGCGCTCGCCTTGAGCTGAAGAGCTCAGGGACAGTGCTCAGGCCCAGAGTTCAAGCCCCACAACTAACAAAAAAAAAAAAAACAAAAAACAAAAAAAGGAAAAGGGGGCTTTATCTAGGAAATTATTTTTATTGATTTTTATTTTATTTTTATTTTTTGGGGGTCTGGTCGTGGGGCCTGAACTCTGGGCCTGGGCACTGTCCCTCAGCTCTTCAGCTCAAGGCTAGTACTCTTGAGCCACAGTGCCACTTCCAGCTTTTTTTCTTTCTGCTTATGTGGTACTGAGGAATCGAACTCAGGGCCTCATGCATGCCAGGCAAGCGCTCTACCACTGAGCCACCTTCCCAGACCAGGAAATTATTTTTAAATTAGCAAATTTTTTGCATAAGGGAATGGATAAGTGCTGGTATTTTAAATTGTATGTTAGCTTTAGTTCCACCTCCATTGATCCTTTCTGTAAGTTCTACTTGTAGAGCTAAGTAACTTGTGTTAGTTTTATACCCGTATCCTCTTCAACTTTAATACTGTAATCTATTTTCATCTTGTAGTCAGTCATTTTCCAAATTCTTTCTTTATAACCCATCCTAGCATTGCTCTGCATTATTTGAATGATACAATTCAGAAGTCTTAATGTGGCCTATAAAGCATTAATCTGGCTTCTTTTGCCCTCTCTAACCTCTATCATTACTCAGACTTCTCCCCGCAGAGGCAGTTTTTAAGTCCTCGTCTTAAATTTGTTTTATCTTTTAATCCTATATTTATTGTTCCTGCCTCCTGAAAAATGTCCCCTAACTCTTAAAAGATAACTATTATCTTATCCCTTTGAGAAGTTGGTATGGTATTTTCAACTCTTAGTTACAGCATCACATTCACTTAGTTAATGAGACTGGTACCTTGGGGTCAACTTACTTGTTTCCCTTTCTCTCACTGCCTGTCTCTTTCCATAACTGTCATATCTGTTCGGTGCCTCTATTTTCATGGCCATGATCTCAGTACAGGGATTCTTTATTTTATGTTTGTTTGGTTTTTTTTTTTACTTAGAATAATATTTCCCATGTTGTCTCATCTTGTGGCTTTCATGTTTATGTTCTACTAGTAGCCTTGAAGATGAAATTCACCTGCAGAAGATCCCTTTGTAAATCTCCTTTTTCTCTCTAGCCTGATTTTCCAACATGTATCCAAGTTAAATGGGTAGTTCCTTAAATAAGTTGTGCTTTCTCTTTCTGACTTGATTCCTGTGTTGAATGCCTTTCTTATCTCTCTCATTTCCTGTTTATCCTTTCAGACTTTTCACACATACAGTACTGACTTACTAAGTAGAAAGCCCTCAAATCTCTCTGCCCCGTCCCTAGTTGATCCCATCACTCCTCAGGTGTCCATGACCTTTTCTGCATACCTGTCTGAGTTCTAGCATTTATCTCACTACAGACCCATTATCTAGTAGTTACTAGCATAAATAAAATGATCAGTAAATACTAAATTTCAATACATAAGTAAGTGTTGGATTAAATTTCATTTTCTTTTCTTTATAGACTCCTGGTTTGTCAGATGTGTTTTACTTAGTAAAACACTAAAGTGCTAATAGCTTCAACTGTCATTCGTAGTTCTGTCTCATTACCGGTCCATTTCATTATATATATTGACTTTAACTAACTAAAGTGATTGAATCCTAAGAAAAGCAGGTCTAAGTAAGGAAAAGAATCTTAGAAGCACATACACACAGATATATATCACAATTTATTGTTTTTATAGCACAAAGTTTTAGCAGTTCTGCTCTGTGAATATCTTCTAAATACTTCTAACTGTCTAGAAGAAACTAAACTTTGACTTGTGTGTATAATTTTTAATTATACTATGCATTATGAATCTTAAACTATTTTTACTTTCAAATGTACTATTCTTTTAGCAATAGTCTTTTAGGTCATAGGACATCTTTTCATTTAATTATATCCTTTTCAGATTCTTTAGAAATATTTTATAGTTCTCCATATACAAGTATTTTTTTCTTGCTCAGTTAACTTTGAAGTATTTTATTCATTTGGGTGCAGTTGTAAATGGAATTGCTTTTCTATTTTTTTTATTTTGGTTGGCCGTGGGCTTGAATTCGGGCCTGGGCGCTGTCCCTGAGCCCTTCAGCATAAAGCTATCATTCTACCACTTCAGCCATAGAGCCACTTCCAGCTTTTGCTGTTTATGGGGTGCTGAGAAATCGAACCCTGGGCCTCATGCATGCATGCAAGGCAAGCACTCTACCACTGAGCCACCTTCCCAGCCCCTCTAATATTTTATTCAGATTGTTTATTTTTGGTATATAGAAACACAGATTTTTGTCCTTTAGTTTCATGCCTTATTTATCAGAAATAATTCTGTGGTGGGTTTTTATATAGTTCGTGTTTCTTTTTTTTCTTTTTTTTTCTTTTACATAGAGTCACATCATCTGTGAATTCAGATAATTTTGCTTCTTTATAATTTGGATGCATTTTTTTTCCTTGCCTACCTGGTCTGGTAGGACTTCCAGTAGAAATAGAATAGCAATGGAGAGAAGATTAAACATTATAGTCTTGCTCCTGATGTTAGGGAGAATCAGCCTTTCATTGGTGTTTAAATTTACCCTTTATAATGCTGAGGAAATTCTTTTCATTTCTAGTTGGTTTGAGCTGTTTGAAATTAGACTAGAATGAACCCACAGTTTATTCTAAAAATGTGACCCACAGTGCATGACTAAGTGTTCCGTAAAGGTATTTGATTGTAATAAACATGGGTGGCTATGCTATGCCTCTTAATGGTTTATTTACCATAGCTTGTATTGTTTACTTTGAGGTTAGTTTCCTGATTAAAGAGAGAGGTTTTTTACACAGTGAATATGAAATGTCTTTAAAAATCACCATTCCCTCTGGGTGCCAATGAATCATACCTGTATCCTAGTTACTCCAGAAGCTGAGACCTGGAGGATTGAGATTTGAAGCCAGCTTAGGCAGGAAAGTCCATGAGACTATCCAAAAATAACCAGCAAAAAGCTGAAATGGAGGCATGGCTCAAATACTATAGAGTGCCAGCTGTGAGCAGAAAAAGCTGAGTGAGACTAGAAGGCCCTGAACATACATATATACACTCACACAAGACTTGCTAAGTAGCAGGTTGACTTGTTAAGAGACTAGATTTTCTTTTTAAATTAAAATATGTCATAAAAATAATTGTGAGTTAAGCCCAAGTGTTGGTGGCTTATGCCTATAATCCTAACTACTCGAGATTGAGATCTGAAGATTGCAGTTCACCCCTCAGTAGATGAATGGATCAAGAAAATGTTGTATTTATATATAAGAATTCTATGCCTCTATCAGAAAGAATGACACCACCTTGTTAGGAAATGGAAATACTTAGAAAAAATTATATTAAGTGGGGGGGGGCGGATTGGGTGGGGGAGGGGGGGTAGGCTGCTTGGATGTGAAGGGTAAACAAAGGAGGAGGCTACAATGCTTGATAAGAAATGTACTCATTATCTTGCCCATGTAATTGTAACCCCTCTGTACAGTATGTTCACTAAAAACTAAAAAAAATTATATTAAGTGAAGTAAGCCAGGCCCCAAAGAAACATAGGTCCCATGGTGTCCCTTATCTGCAGTAACTAGTGTATGTCTAGGACAAGCAGAAAAGGTCAAAAGCTATGTACATATGACCATATAAGATGATGCTAAGCGAAATGAACCCCAATATAGGTACACAAGAGGTTTTATCTTTCTTGCTGCTGTTTTTAATGTACGTATAATATACTATGTGATCTTTTGTTTGTTTCTTTTGTATTTTCTTCCCCCATGGTATAACCCCTGTTTTCGCTGTATTTGATTCCAGTGCCCTCAATCTTGTATCTACAATTTTCTGATTTGGGGAGTAGCAGGGAAATAATAAAATGCTGAAATAAGGATACAGGTTGACCCATTGTAACAACGAGATGTACAAGCACTATGTTGAAAATGAACTTTACAACTTGAGCGGGGTGGGCAGGGAAGAGTTGGGGAGGTGCGGAAGAAAGGGATGGTAGGAGAAAACAAAGGAGGGGTTAACAATGCTTGATAGGAAATGTACTCATTACCTTACTCATGTAACTAACCCCCCTGTACAGTATTTTACAATAACATATATATATATATATGTATATAATATATATATGATTGCCATTCATAGTCAGCCCAGGCAAGAAAATCTGTAAGACTCTTATCTCCAATTAACCACATTTGAGCTATGGCTCAAATGGTAGAGCCTTGAGTGAAATAGCTAAGGGATATCACCTAGTCTCTTAAGTTCAAGCCCCCCAGTACAGGCACAAATAAATAAATAAAACTTGGGAATAAAAGAAGATTGTCCAATTTCTTTTATTTAAATACATAGATTTTTTAAAACATTTTTCATTAATACAAATGGATGGATATCTGAAAAACTCAACTGTGTTAGGTACTTCCTAATTAGAGAAGCACAGAAATGTAAGAAATGGCTTTTTCGCTATGTTGGATTTCTATTACAGTTGATGAGCTAAGACCTTGGAGAGAGACAGAGAGAGAGAGTGTGTGTGTGTGTCAGTCCTGGGGTTTGAACTTAGGGCCTGGACACTGTCCCTGGGCTTTTTTGCTTAAGAGTAGCACTCTACTACTTGAGCCACAGTGCCACTTTTTGGTGGGTAATAAGAGGTTAAGAGTCTCATGGACTCTCCTGCTCTGGTTGGTGTCAAACTACTATCCTCAAATCTCAGCCTCCTGAGTAGCTTGGATTACAGGAGTGAACTCATGGGTGCCCAGTTCTAATTTTTGTTTTGAAATACCTTGATTTTGTATACCAGATTGTAACTCAGTAAAAGATAGTGTTTACTTTTGTACAAAAACATCCTATAGTTACTTAGCCTAAAACTAATTTAAGAAAAAAAATAACATGGTTATATAGCTAATTAAACTTCTATTACATATACACACATACACTTTAACAAGCACATACATACACACACACACACACACCTATTACATACACACAGTCTAGAAGCTATTTGCTCTTCAACTTTACTGAACTGTTACTTGAGATATTTAAAGTAGTTTCCAAACCTCATTTTTTGTATCTCTTTTCTCTCACTCTCTCTACATTCATATTTCAATAGTTAATTCTTTTTCTTGTTTTATTTTTGTATTATGAGACAAAGTCTTGTTATATAGGCTAAGCTGGTCTTGAATTCATAATGTTCCTGCCTTAGCTTGTCAAATTCAGGGAATGTAAGGATTACAGATATGTACTGCTGTCCCCAGCTACAATAGTTGATTCTCTAAATTTGTTATAACCAACTATACTAGCTGTCAACTGTGGCTAAATTTAATGAAATCTAGTAGTTGAATTACTCTAAAACCAGGAAAAGAGTATTAATTGGAAATGTTTCACTTCTTTGACTCTTAGATGTTTTTAGTGGAATACTAAATAGATTTTCTCTATCGTTTGAATACTTCCTTTGAATTAGTAAATGTAATTGACATCTAGCTAAAGGGAAATAGTCTTGACACTGTTTTAGAAGGACCTGAACCACACCTGAATTATTTACCACACATCCTCAGAACATTTAAGTAAACTAACAATTATAGGCTAGACTATGATAGACAAAAGAAGTTCTTTCAAAGTTAGAGTATGAAATGAAAGTTGTTTTGTCAGAATGCAGAATTTTTTTCCTTATGACATTCCATGCTGGCTTAGAAGTTACAAGTATGTGCCATCATCCTTGGCTTCAAACTAATTTTTCATTAAGTTGTTTCTTTCCTACCCCTTTGTCCTCTCTATTGATTAGAAGCTCAGACAAAAATATAAGAAATTGTCTTATTTTCTATAATCCTTAAGTTCTAAATTCCATAGTACTCATCAAGTAGTTGCTGAATTAATTACTTTGTTTCTAAGTATTATGTTTATTCTGAAAAAATATCTTAAACGTATTTTTGGATCATGTATTTTTAACTAAGACTTTTGTGCATTTTAGTATTTCCATTTGGTCAATTTTACCCTGTTTTGTTGTTAATAAGAAATAATAAGTATTAATTTTAATATAGGATTAAAATTTTGCTTTTGACAGGTTGACTTTGGCAGAATATCATGAACAGGAAGAAATTTTCAAACTTAGACTAGGACATCTCAAAAAGGTATGTAACGTATATGTTTAATTATTGTTGTAATTTGTTGCTAGAATTTGTGGTTCTGTATTTTAGGAGCTAAATCTAAACCAAATTTAGAATATCAAACAGAAAGATGCACTGAAGTTATATTTCATGTTGAGTATACATAACTTTGAGATAATACCATTTAGTTTCATGGATTACATTTTTAATGTGAAATCTGAAATCCCATATTATTTGCATCTGTTTCACAATAAATTGAAATGATTATACATATCAAAGTTACTTCTTTCGCTTAACAGCTTGTCGAATGCTTGCTAGAATATTTTGTTGTTGTTGTTGCTGTTGTTGGTCATGGGGCCTGAACTCTGGGCCTAGGCGCTGTCCCTCAGCTCTTCAGCTCAAGGCCAGCACTCTACCACTTAAACCACAGCACCACTTCTGTTTTTCTGGTGGTTTATTGGAGTTAAGTTTCACAGGGAATTTCATGCCCCAGCTGCTTTGAACCACAGTCCTCAGATCTCAGCCTCCTGAGTAGCTCGGATTACAGGTGTGAGCCACTGGCGCCTAGCTGCTAAAATGTTTTGGTTAAAATGTGTATGTACATGGAACTGGTGCTGGTGGCAAACACCTGTAATCTTAAATACTCAGGAGGCTGAGATTTGAGGTTTGAGGTTTGAAACCAGACAGGATAGGAAAGTCTGAGACTGTTACCACTAATGAAGTACTCAAAAAAAGCCAAAATTGGAGCTGTGGCTCAAGTGGGTAGAGTGTTAGCTATTCTTGAGCAAAGAGACAGTGTCTAAGCCTTGAGTTTAAGCCCCAGAACAGGCACCCCCCCAAAAAAAAGATGTGCATGGAAAATATAAGAGTATCTACTAGTTGAGTACCTATTAGTTATGATGTAAAGTAATATAATTTAGAAAAATTGTTAGGTGTTACTGTAGTTATAATGTATAGTTTTGTATTACAATTCTGAAATTATTGATTACATTGAATCGATGAACTGGAGATTGTGTCTGTAATGTCATCTCTGGATAGGATAATGTAGGACCAAGAAGCACATTTTGCTAGCAGCTAGCCTCATTTTATCTACTAAATTCCTTTTTATCAGTATGCCAGTTTGTTACAGAAGTGTGTGTGTGTGTGTGTGTGTGTGTGTGTGTGGTTATAGAAGTATATATATATATATATATATATATATGAATAATTATATATAATTATTTGTATTAGTGTCCCTTACTATGCCATGTTTTCTAATCCATTGTTCAGAAAGCGTCAACAAAAATTATTGGAAGAACAAATCCTAAAATGATTTATTTTGGTCTTTTTTTTTAATTTAAGTTCTGTGCTATTGTGATTATTGAGTATTTTAGCTATCTGCTCTTCATATATAGTAGGCAAGTTTAGTCTGTTTTCCATAGTAGGTCAAATTAAGGAACAGTAATGACAGTGGGCCGGGCACCTAGCTATTCAGGAGTCTTGTGATCTAAGGACCAAGATGTAAAGCTGGCCTAGGCATGAAAGTCTCTAATAAACTTCAAAAAAAAGTTGGAACTGAGGCTGTGGCTCGAATGGTGGAGTGCTAGCCTTGACTACAAAAGCTCAGGATAGCACCTAGGCCCTGAGTTTATTAAGCCCCAGGACGAGCACAAAAAAAAAAAAAAAAAAAAAGACGAAGAAGAATGGAACTATAAAAAGGAAGAGAGGATTTTTAATACCTAATAAGTCACAAATATTTGTCTGCCTACCTTAATTTTTGTAATGACTCAGTGAAGACCTATGCTTCATGTCCTATGTAAAAATTTACCAATTATTTTCTAACCAGTCTTTGATGAAAAGGTATTTAATATGCACTTATTTATACTGGTAGTGATATGGCTAAATATATACTTAACTGATACTAATTTTTCACACATAATAGCATATTCTTTTTAATGATAAAATTTTGCATCTGCTGCACTTTATGAAAATTTTAAATGTAGTCATATTAGGAATTCAATTCCTAATTGTTACAAGAAATACACTTCTAAAAAAAAGAAATACACTTCTGCAAAAGCCTTTAGAAGAGGATTTGTTTTTGCTTTGGATTGATTGGTGGTTGGTTGATTTTTTTTTTTTAAGCTTTCCTGGTACTTTGAAAATACTTGGTGTCTATGAAAAATGCTTTTATTTTCTTAAATGAAGTATACTTATGCCTCTTAATTATTATCTAAAAATTTGTGAGCTGTTACAGAATACTTTCATCTTCTTTTCTAACCTCCATATTATCCTTTTTCCCAGTGTTTGACCTCTTCATTTTTCATATTTACTTTGTTCTTCCTAATAACTGTCTTTTCCATATTTTTTCATGTTTTCCCCCCAGCTTTTATCAAAGTTTCTGTGCAGGCTTAGATTTCTCACTTTATCTTTTCTTTACTACTTTACAACATTAACTTTTCCTTGATCTTAGTTACTGAATATTTTGGGAGCGTGAATTAACTAATACTGAAATTTACCTTCATGTCTTATATACTCATATTTTCTTCTGAGATACTTTTGTGAAGAATGAAAACATGTATAAAGAAAGTTAATACTAGGGCTGGGAAGGTGGCTCAGTGGTAGAGTGCTTGCCTTGCATGCATGAGGCCCTGGGTTCGATTCCTCAGCACCACATAAGCAAAAAGGAAAAAAGCCGGAAGTGGCGCTATGGCTCAAGTGGTAGAGCGCTAGCCTTGAGCTGAAGAGCTGAGGGACAGCGCCCAGGCCCAGAGTTCAGGCCCCAGGACCGGACCCCCCCCCCAAAAAAGAAAGAAAGTTAATACTAATATTTGTAGAGGAAAAAAAACTAACCAAGTACCCTTAGAGAATAACCAAATAGCAGTTGTCTGCTTACAACTAGGTCTTTATTTTAACCTATACAATTTAAAAAATAATAAGCACTATTTAACCCACTAAGCACTGGTTTTGAATGCACAGATGAAAAATAGATTATCTTGTTTTCTAAAAAAAACATAGATTGGACAGACTTTTTTGTTTTTGGTTGTGGAGCTTGAACTCAGGGCTTATGTGCTGTCCCTGAGCTCTGTTGCTGAAGGCTAGTGCTCTACCATTTTGAGCCACAGCACCACTTCCAGTTTTCTGGTAGTTAATTAGAGATAAGAATCTCATATACTTTCCTGCCTGGACAGGCTTTGAACTGTGACCCTCAGATCTCAGCGTTTTGAGTAGCTAGGATGACAGGCGTGAGCCACCAGTGCTTGGACAGCTTTAACACAGAGAGGACAGGCTTAATTCCAGAGAAAGAACATTACCACCTTCATTTTATCAGTTCACTATTGTCCTAGGTTTATTAGGGTGATACAAAGTGATTAGCTTGTAAGTATATAGTTTCTACCATAAGCTGGATCTGGTAAGATCTGATCTGCATTTGATCCACATGGAACCTGCATGGTCAGTCAGTTTAGGGTTTAGATTGGGAGCACAGCATGAATTAAACATCAGTTTATCTGTCTGCTTGTCTGTCTGCCTTTTCCCTCTCTCCCTTTCTGCTTCTCTCTCTCCCTCTTTCCTTGCCTTTCTTCCATTTTCCCTTAATAAACTCTTTACCAAGCCAAGCACTGGTAGCTCAGGCCTGTAATCCTTACTTCTCAGGAGGTTAAGTTCTGAGGATTGCAATTCAAAACCAGACCGAGCTGGAAAGTCTGCGAGACTGTTATCTCCAATTAAACAATAAAGGCAGAAGTGGAAGTGTGACTTAAGTAGTAGAATGCCAGTGGTACAACAGAAAAGCTAAGGGACAAGGCCTTAAGTTCAAGCACAAAAAACAAACTTTTCAACATAAAACAGAATTAATTAATAGATTAAATTTGTTAGCTCTGAAGTACAAGACCTCCTTCATTGAAGAAGCTCAGGCCATATTTACCTAGAAAAGTAAAAGATCTGTTTATTAGTCTGAGTAATTTGTAATATGTATTCATAATAATCATAGTTGAGCGGGTAATATGAAAATTTTTATTTACCATTAATGAAATGTTAGAAAAGTAATAAATCCAAAGCTGTGAAAGTGTGATAGTCAGGCAGAAACCTCCCAAAGTAAGTATATAGCTAGTTGGCTCCAAAAAGTAAATATAAACTTTACTTACAGGCTTATCTGTCTTCTGAGATTAGGGTAGTCATTGTATAGCATCTCTTTTTTCTACTATATCAAAAAGGTTTTAATATTTACTGTTTTAGTTCCTACTTTACGTAGTCATTACTCACTTATTCAGAGTGATATATTTTCCTTGTTCTGCCTAGTATAGGCATTATTCAAGAAAATTAATTTTAGAGACTAGTTTAATCATTTTTAATCAACATCAATTTTAACTTTTTGAATCCCACGATCTCCTATATATGCTTTTTGTGAAGTAATATAGGTAGTAAGTGACTTTTCTTACTTCCTTCTGTTATATCATGTGTTTCTTTTCTAGAATTGATTCTTTGTATACAGAAGAATTAATTAACTTGTAGCTTGCATATCTTATAAGTAGTAGTTGCTGCCAAGCATCAGTGGCTCATGCCTGCCATTGTAGCTACTCAGGAGGCTGAGATCTGAAGATCTAGGTTTCAAGCTTGCCCAGGCAGGATAGTCCATTAACTACCAGAAAAGCCAGAAATAAAGCTATTTCTCAAATGTAGAGTGCTAGCCTTGATCACAAAAGCTCAGGTACAGAACTTATGCCTTGTATTCAAGTCCCAGGACTGGCACAAAAACAAACAAAAAAAGTAGTGTTTGCTTCAACCTGAAGATTTTGAAGAATCATGCTATTTTATTTCATCACAGCTAGGATAACATTTAAGTCAATTGTTTTCATATGTTCTTTTTCTTTCTCTTTTTCTCTCATATTTCCTTTCTTGAACTGGACTCATGATTATTTTATCAGCTAGAATATATCTTTATTACTAGCTAATGTATTGATTTTCACTTCATTTTTTTAAGTAGGTAGAGAAGCACTTGTTTGTAAAACATGTAAATACTTTCAAATAATTTAAGGATTGCAAAGAAG